AAAGATGGCCAAACTAGCACAATAAATAGAATTCTTTCTAAGACATTATGCAATAAGTAACCACGTAAATTAGATCAAGTGATTGTCAATAATAGAATTTAGTTATAATATAATTTCTAATACTTATTTAGAAAATATTCCATTTTAAATAGCTCATGGCATTAATACATTTAGGCCAATAGGTTTGATAGAAATTAGAGAAAGGAATAAAAAAACTTTAAAATTTTACTTAATAAAAGGAGCAAAAGAGAGTATACGATGAAAGTGGCTTACTTTTTTCTTTTTTTTTTAAAGAAATTCAATTATAAGTTAAAATAAAATAAAATAAAATAAAATAGCCATTTTTTAGATATTCAATACAATCAAGGTAAAGAAGCATAGTTGAACATGACCAATCTTATTTATCCAACATATCTAATTCTAAAGTGGATCCAAAAGTGGGCTATTTTTTATACCATTGCACAATATATATATATATATATATATATATATATATATATATATATATATATATATATATATATATGTGTGTATCAAAGAAACATATCAAAGAAATTAAAGAGGTACCTAATATTTCATGTATTTGTGCTTAAAAAATTTGTTGAAGACACAAGTGACTACTACAAAGAAAAAGCTAAGATTCTATCCCTAGAGAAAATATATAATAAGACAATAGAACAAATAGATGTTATTGTTTATTAAAAAAAAATGCAATAATGTTAGAAGCATTGAATACTTGTATAATTTTAATTTTTGGCATATTTTTCAAAAAATATAATATTTTTCTCTATATCTTTGATAAAATTAATCTATTATATTTATAATCATAATAAATAAATAGATAATATGTATATATATATATATATATATATATATATATATTTAATACATTTTTATAAATAGAAGAATCTATTTTTGACAAATTGAGTTTTATTATATTAAATAAATAATAATAATAATCAATTTCAAGAATGATATTAAATAAGCTCCAACTTAATTAATAACATTGTCTTTGTTAAATCTTTAACTTCATACAAACTTCTCTTAAGAAGTTTTTGTTATATATTTCTTGAATAATTTTTAAAAATTATTCTTTGAAAATATAAACTTATTTGTAGAAAATAAGATTTATTTAAAAAAATAGATTTTAAAATATTTTTTATATAAATAAAATTTAAATAAATTTATATAAATAGATTTTAAAATATTTTATACAGCTCATTTCTATAGAAAATATTAAAATCTATTTTTAAAAAAGCTTTGGTCAACATCAATATACATCCACAACAACAGCGTTATTAGTTAAAAAGTTAAAACTTATTATCAAAAAAGTAGTAGAATTTTATTCTTAAATTTAAAATTGAATAAAAAATTGAATCAAAGAACTTTAAAAAAATAATAACCAGTTCATTAAATTGTTATATAATAACATTTTGGTATATAATGATAAAAAAAAAAAATATTTATATATACAAGAAAATATTAGAATTTTGATTTGTTTTTCTTTTATACCACATACTAAGATGTATCTTAAAATTTTTAAAAAATTACTTTGTAAATTATTTAATTATAGGATTATAATTATAACTTTAATATTAAGTATCATAACTAAGATCTTTATTTCCAACATTTTTATATATTTGAAAAATTCAAAATGTAGAAATTTTGAGAATAAAATTTTAAAATAATTTAAAAATAAAATATAGTTTGTCTTTATTAAAAGTGATTTTAAATTTAAATATTTATTTATAAAAAATGAAAAAATAAAAAATAATTGATTTCAAAATAATAATAATCTTAAGTATCTACTTGTATCAAAAGGTATAAAAGATGCAATATTTTATAGGCCTTTGAGCATCGGTATGAAACATAATTATCTATTTTATGTAAAATTGTGTAAATAGATTAAAGTTTTAAATTCTTTTAACAATAATGCTAATTCCAAGCATTCACTCATATCAATATTAATATTTCAAGAATATAAAGTTTAACTTTTTTGGAATTAATATTGAGTTTAAAGATCTATCAATGTAAAAATATATCATATTCGTAAATATTTTATAATTATATTAGAAATAATTTCATGTAAAAATATTCATATTTAAATAATTGTATTAATTATTTAAGGTTGCTTAATTCTTTTTTCACTAATATCAAAGTTTTAAATTGTCTCATATCAAAAGTTATCAAAGATGTAAAGTTACTTAATTATTTTAGTAATGATATTAAGTTTGAGCATCTATCAATAACAAAAGATATTAAAAATATAAAAGTTCTAATTTTTTTGGCAATGAGGTCAAATTTGAGTGATTAATCTTTTGTAAATATGTCAAAAATGTATGATTGTCCAACTCTTTTAGCAATCATGTCAAGCTTAAGAACTTTTTCATGTGAAAATACAATAGAGATATAAGAATATATTAATTTATTTAGAAATAATTTTAAGAATAAGTATCCATTTTTATCAAAATTTTCCAAAGATATAAGATTTTTAAATTCTTTTATTAATAATGTCAAGCTTAAACATCTATCTATATACAAATTCATTAAAAGCATAAAAAAATTTCATTCTTTTGACAAAGATATCAAGCTTAAACATTCATCCATATAAAATTGAGTCAAAGATACAAGGTTATCCAATTGTGTAAGAAGTGATATTAAATTTGGACATCTTTGCATATTAAAATTTGTTAAAGATGTGAATTTTTTAACTTATTTGACAAAAAAATTGAGCTTAAGCACCCACTTCTATCAAAACTTATCAAAGATATAAGATTGTTCAATTTTTTTGAAATGATATTGAGTTTAAGCGTCTACCTATATTAAAAAATATATAGTTATAAAAAATTATTCAATTCTTTTAGCTTCAATATCAAACTTAAGTAATTACATACATCAAAATAGAATATAGATTTTAACTTCTATAATTCTTTTAGCATTGATATTAAACTTTAGCATTTATTTATACAAAAATGTATCAATGATATAAGGTTGTCTAGTTTTTTTTAAATGATATTAAGCTTGTACATCTATTCATAATAAGTTGTGTCATTAATATTAAGTAGTCTAATTCTTTTTGCTAAGATATCAAAGTTAAGCATCCATCCATATTAAAATTATGTTAAAGGTGTAAGATTGTTCATTTCCATAGGCAATAAAATTAAACTTGAGTATATATTTATACAGAAATATGTCAATATATAATATTTTTCAATTTTTTTGGCAATAATATCAAGCTTAAATATCCATTTATTTGAAAACTTGTTAAAGTCATAAGATTGTCCAAGTCTTTTAGCAATAATCATATACTTGAGTTTTTTGTAATATTAAATTGTATTAAAGTAGTAAGGTTGTTAAATTTTTTGGTATTAAAATTAAAATTAAGAATTTATTCATATTATATTTTATAATAGATATAATTTTTATAATAGATATAATTTTTATAATTAGATATAATTTTATAATAGATATAATTTTTATAATATAAATTTTATAATAGATATAATTAAATAAACCAACTTAAAATAATTGTGGATATTTTATTTTTTATTAATCTTTATTTTACAATGGACAACAATAAAATTTCCATACTTGCTTTTGGAATTTTTAATGTAGGTAAACTAAAATTTAAAATGCTCACAATTAAGATAAATCTAGTTTGATTGATTGCTTCTACAAAAATATTTATAATTTTAAAGAAATAGTCAATATTTATCATTAAGTGTTTAGATTTTGCATTAACTTATCAGCTACAAAAAAAAAATCTATTCAAAACAAATTTTTTTTTGATATTACAAGAAATTAAAATTACAAGGTTACAGATGTGATTGAATAGCACCAAAACAATATTCAATTAACTCAAAAAAAAAATAGCAATTATCATAACAGTAATAATATATTGTGATAACACTTCCACTATTTAGTATATTATTAGAAACTAATTAAAAGACATAGAGCTAAAACAAAACAACACGTGTTCTTCACAAACTACCAATTAGCTCATTACCAATTAGCAATAAATGTGTTTCTCGTGACTTCTACATGACAACCATTATCAACTAGCAACAATTAGGTCAAGACCACTAACCTACACATGACAATATCTACAACACTGCAAAACAAACCATACCCCACTTGAAAGATATATTACATAAGCACATGTGTACTTATGAGATCTTACTCCACATCCTCCAAGTCTTTCACAGAATTCATGATGGTTTGTATTTAACGGAGGAAAAAACACATACAATCTAAAGTGGAAAAGCATAATTATACTGTACCAAAAAAGGGCAGCGTTTTTGGTGGTGGTGTAACAAATTGGCGCACACGTGTTATCCCTGGAGTCCATGGAGGCCAGAAAATGTTTTTTGAAGCATGGTATAAAATACTCTTGGGAGGATAGTGCCTTACCGAATCTCATCCTATGAGCAAGTTCAGAAAGATGCAACTGTTGCAATACTCTGTGAAAGAACAGCCATGCATCCAACCCAGACAAGAGGACAGGGTGTCCGAAGTTGGAAGGTGATGACAAGAGAATTTGCTCCTACGAATGGAATGGAGGAATGTGGTAATCGGCAACGCATCGTCCCAGCGCGAACCTTGGGAGCTTCATAACGGGGGCTCGAATGAAGTCAAAGAGAACAGCGAAGGAGAAAGACAGAAATGAGGAGGATTGGAGTATGCATAGATGAAGGGTTGCAAAAATGTGGAGGGGAGACGGGAGGGTGGCTCGAATGAAGTCAAAGAGAACAGCGAAGGAGAAAGACAGAAATGAGGAGGATTGGAGTATGCATAGATGAAGGGTTGCAAAAATGTGGAGGGGAGACGGGGGGGTGGGATGCGAAACGGGGAAAAACCGGAGTTGCCGCGACGGATCACGCCCCAGGGGATGAGGGTGCGACGAACGCTCACTCAGCGCCCGCCCCACCGCCGTCCTCCCCCGCACCTTCCACGCTCTACGTAACCGGGACTCGGACCCGGGTTGGCTAGGTGAAAGTCAGTTATCCAAACCAAGAAGTCCCCACCGGGGTTAAAAATGGAGTAAAAAACGCGGTTGTTTGTTCCGCGTCCCTGGTTTACAAGGCCATCGGCCGTATTGTTCCAGAAAGCACTATATTTACCATATTTCTATCTAGTGTGGCGTGGTCCTAAGTTAAAAAATCGTAGCCCGTCTTTCATCCATCTTCGATACTCTTCTCCTTGTAAATTCAGCGCTGTCGTTGTGTATACTTCGAAGGCCACCCTACTACCCTGTATTCTTAGTCTGTCACGCAGTATTCTTAGTCTGTTATGCAGTAGGCTTTCTAGGTCCTCCTGTGTGTATGTGGCAGGGTGATTGGTCTCCCTTGTGCTGTGTGCGTCCTCTGTCGTGTTTCAGTTTTCCATTTCCGCTTCTCTGTATCGATCGGCTTCTACTGCGGCCAGGTGATCATCGATTTCGTTCTGGAGCACTGCATAAAGGAAGTCGGAAGTTGGGGCGCGGCGAGTTATCCTAACCATCTAGACTATTTCGGAAACGGAATTCTCGACCCCCTCGGACCTGTGGAACATCGAATCCCGCACGCGCCGTAACCGCTTCCTCTTTACCCCCGCGCCCCCACTGCACCTGTCACAGCCGCGCCCCAACTTCCGCCCACTGCCTCAATTTCCAACCCGTATCGCCACACCACACACACACCGCGCTCTCTGTCAACCATTACCCAATACCGGGACCATTCGGCCTCCACAAACTCTCCTCGGGACAGTCCCCTCCGCTTCGCTGCAACCCACACCCCTCGTGTCGTGTGCTCAACCCACACCCCTCATGTCGTCTGCCCAACCCAACCCCAAGCTGCAATGACAACTCAGAACCCTCCACACACCACCCAAAACTCCTGCCTCTCCCACCTCAAGCCCAACTCAACCATCTCATGCCTTTCAAGAACTCTCTCACCCTCTAGGTCCCCACGCCATAACACCCGGCTAAGTCCTCTACCAGGGGTCTCGTGTGCTGAAGGATGCAGATTTGGAGACTTGAACAATTAAGTGCTGCGGGAATATTAGTGGTGACGCGTAGTGGGCACCACTATGGCCGCTGGGTAGACTGAACTTGAACTGAACGATAATCTATCACAACTACAATCATCCTTGATCGTTATCTGCAGGGAAGTCAATGCGTCGTAAGGGCATCGTAAGAATGTTGCATAGGAACTATTAATGAAGTGTCCACAAAACTTCTACCAGGAGAAATATGCATCCGGAATCCGTTGAGAAAAAACCAATGGACCACTTGATGGGCTCGCCATTGCCAACATTCTCCACATCAGCTTGAACGAAAACAGGTTCTTCGTTCATTTGCGCAATCTATCTTGAGCACTTAATCTTGTGTTTGGAGGTTCCTGAGATTACCATGACATAAGAGGATGTGTCGGTTCTGACAGAGCTGAGGGGCGATGAGTGTGCTCAAATCCCCAGAGCTCAACATGTTTGAGGACAAACTCTTCAGCGTGTGCAAGGCATGGGTTGCCGTAAGTTTCACAGGCCCCGCTGGACCCATTCAGCAATTCGGAGTCTAAGTGCAGTGCAAAATGACTCCCGCCTCCACACGAAAGGGCTTCTGGTGTCACCAGCACGAAGTACCTGTTCACGCCAGTGGGATGGAAGATTGTTGGCTGGCCGGAGACAGTACTGAATACAAACGAATCGCTAGAGCCTTCGTACTTCTTTTGCTGGGTTGGTGTCAAAGGAGAAGTTATCAGGCCACCAAACACGGCACCCTCTTTGTCCCCGGCAACCAATAAACAGGGTCCAGTCGCCATATTGCTATTTCGATATAGGGTGAGGAGCGACATCCCATGCTTATTGGTGCTGTAAAGAAGAATCCATCGTCGACCCTTGACGAGTGATGGCAGGGCGGGATGGATGTAACAGCGGAGTTCATCCGAGAGGAGAAGCGAATGGTCCGACATGCTGGGTAGGCGATCAACTGATATACTTGGGAACTGCTTTCTTCGCGGTCGAGGGGTGGTGTCCTTCACATTTTGCGTCACAAGCAGCCCGTCCGCATAACAACAGTCTCCTCTGTGCGCACTACCCTGCTCTTCTGCTTCTCCAGCATTACACAATTCACCCCTCTGTCGGAAGGGACTTGAAGGAGTCGAATGATTCCCAGACCGAGCAAAGTAAGCCCTACTTTCAGAGCCAGACCGCGAAAACTTTAACGCCTGCTTGTCCTCCCCTTTGCTACTGTCATCAGTGCAGGACATCAGGTTGTAGAGAAACGCGGATAGAGACGACGTATCTGGTCCTTGAGTATCCCAAGACTCCCTGCCATCCTTCTCACTATTCGAATCATCCCACACCTGCTCTGCGATCCCGAAACCACTACCATCTGCACCCGTTGCATATTCTCCTAACTCAGGCGAAGAATTCTTTCTCGATAACGACGCCACGTTCTTCTTGCTCGGCAGAAAGCGGCCGAAGGTGTCACTCATTGCGTCCGCCCACTCGACCGGCTTGGATAAAAGTGCATTCTTCATCTTCGTTTCCAGGCCCTGGTTAGGACCACGATGCCCACAAGCCCAACCCAACATCTCTAAACAGAACCCCTACCCTGCCCCAACCAGCCTTAACGTTTCCTCTCCAATTTCCACATCAATCATGCCAGCGTTCCAAAACTCATTTTAATCTCTCGCGCAGCAATCTGAGCCAAAACGCCTGTCCTCGAACCCCAGACACTTCATAAAACTGGCTCACGAGCTCCACTCTCCAGCAACCGAACCCTCGCACAACTCTCCATCACCAACATAAACATCGCCACATTGAAACAAGACACTATAACGTGGAAGAGCCGAACAATCTAATCACGCACCCATTATACGACTCGTGATGCACTTGGGTAAATCCTGTGAAACACGACCAACAAGAATTTGCAACTACAGAGCTTGCACGCAAAGGAAATGGAATGGGGAAGAAACTTGGTAGAGAACAGTGGCGCCATCAGCGCGAAGGCATGGGTGCTGAGGTAGAGCTGGGAGCTGCGTAATGCCCTCCCCGAGATGTACAACGCCCTGTCATCTCCGACGAAAGTCGTTCGTTGTCGATCGTTACTGTCCGCTATCGTCCATTATCGTCCATTATTGTTCGTTATCGTTCGTTAACATACATGACATTTTGTGATCAAGTCCGTGCATTTCATACTTTGGGTTGAGAATAATAAAGTACAACATATTTTTTTCCGTCGGTTAAGAATTTGGGACTGGCCACAAAAACTTTAAAAGAAGAGTGCAAATTAGATTTTTTTTTTTTTAATTTTTTTTTAATGAAAATAAGAAAGAATTCACAATGTTTAAAGTCTATTTTAAATTACTCTGCAACTAATGAATCAATTATCTCTTAATTTATAATTAAATATTATTTCTTTAAGATAATAAATTCAGTAGAAACTAACCCCTGGATGTTTATGTTTAAGCATTATGCTATGTACAACAGTTTCAAAATTAATGTTTTTTTTTCTAAAGAATTTATTTCTAAAATTGGTTTAGTATATTTTTTGCAAGTATTAACTTTTAAGGGTTTTTCATAACTATTGAATATTTAAAATTTAAATACTCAATGTTCATACAATCCTAACTTATCTAATCTAGAAAGTAATTAGACCATCCTAAAAATCTTTGAACTACTAGCATTTGGAGAAAAAGTTGATAGTGAATGGATTCTAGATTTTGGTGTTTTGAAGTACTTCAATGGCAACTACTCTGCTATTGACCAAATAGACCAAATAGACCACTCTCATAACAACACAATTAGGAGCAATGTCAATATAATTATAGGACAAAGGTCAATCAACATGTCTATGTCTACTGGAGAAATAAAGATTCTTAAAGAAGTTTGTTACATCCCTCATCTAAGGAGAAATATACTATTTATTAATTAAATCATAGACATTAGTAACTTCTACATTTTTGAACTTGAATAGTATGTTGTCATCTTAGCTACTAAGCCACGTAAGGTTATAAGAAAAAGTAAACAAGATCTTGACAATGAACTATACAAATTAAAACAACTATCTATACATAATTTTGATACTAGTATTAACACAACATAAAAATCTATACAAGATGTAGAACTTCTTCAATTAGAAATACCTAGCAAAATTATAGATTCTCTTATTTATTTCTAGTACTTACATTTGAGAGACTTGAATTATAAGAGACTTGAATATTTACAAATACAACATTTAGTTTCAAGAATCCTTTCTTTTCTTATATAAATTCAAACTTGTAGTCATTACTAATTGGGTAAACAAACTCAAAATATAATTTCTAAATAAACCACAATTAAAGCTAAAAAATCATATAGATATGTGTAGGCCTTTTTAAATTAAATATTTGGCTTATTCACCTTAATTTATTGTGTATACTAATGATTCTTTGAAAAAATCTTTAATCTACTTTATGATTTCAAAAAACTAATTTTTTAACATTTTCAAGAGATTTTATATGATAATTGAAAAGCAAACCTTCTACTACATTCTTTTGCTCCAATCTAATTGAGTATCAAGGACATGAACTCCAAAGAAAGATAATCTCAATACACTCTTAAGTCACTCAAAAATACTTAGAAATCACTCAAAGGTGATAATATATTGAACTTGAATGGCTATTGCCAAAGACTAAAAAACATGACGACTCTTGAAACTACATTGGAAATAAGAAAGGAGTTGAGAAGAGTGAAGAAGGCTTTATTCTTGTCTCTATATATACTATCTAACTAGGGACTACATGGCGACGTTCTATAGGACCTCTAATATGTGTTGACTTTGTAAGACACTTGCCTTGACTTGCAAAGCAAGTTTTTCTACATGTGGGTCACATAGTTAGCTTGGTCTTCGAGCTAACAATATGTGTGGCACATGGCCAACTTGTTGACCACGTTTCTAATCCAAAAAGTCAATTAAAGACACCTATGAAGTCAAAGCAGCATCTATAAAGCTTCTAAGAAGCTTCCATATCAAATACTATAGAATCAACTTACTTTTATCTACTTTTACTTACTTCTACTTATTTATATATGTAATTACTAGCTTATATGAATATGTCCGTGACATTGAGGTAGTGAATTTCTGTTGCTAGATTATATTAGATACCTATAAAAATATAAGATTACTTATCAATTATTTGTTGCTTGCACACCTCAAAAAAATGAGGTATGAAAAAGAAAAAAATAAAATCAATTTGAATAAAATCAACATTATATTCATGAGCGAAAGTATACCTTTATTTTTTTGGATCAAACCAACCCATATTATTGTAAAATTCATTAATTATATTCCTATCTAAGCTAACTAAATTATATTCTTTGATTATTTCTTCTATGGCATAAAATTAGATGTTAGTTTAATAAGATGTTTGGATGTTTTTATTTTATAGGCAAAGATAACACATAAATAAATAAACTTAAACTTAGACCACAATTTTTAATTTATTTAGAAATTGATAATAAGTCTAAAAATTGTAAAATATATCTTTAGCTCATTATATATTTCAAGTCACTCAAGGTGTCTTTTTTGATGAAATCTAATTTTTAAAATTAGATTCCATATTAACAATCTTTATTTCTAATCATTTTAATCAAAAAAGGTTACCCTCAACAATAATAATAACAATGAGGATTAAACACCTAGATTTTTATATTTCAAGAATCATTAAATATTCCTTCTATGTTTTTACATAGGAACTATTCCTATATTTGGCTCAAGTTTTTAGAATTGAAGTTTTCATCAAAATCAAGGTTAGAGAATTTAACTTAAAATCTAACTTCAATATTTTTAATTTGTTAATTTTTTCTTATCTTCTTCAATCTAGTTTTCAAAGCTCTTTCTTTTTTATCTTAAAAAAGCTCTATATCTTCATAAATATTTCCTTGTCTTTGTCTTCTTCAATCTAGTCTTCAAAATTCTTTCTTTCTTGTGTTAAAAAATCTCTATATCTTCATGAATTTTATCTTACAACTCTCACAACTTAGTAATAGATCAAAAGTGTATAATGAAATGACATATAATTATATTGAATATAATTTCTTGATTATGATTATCTTTTAATAAATATAATATGATTTTGTAGCTTTTATAGCTTTATATAGTAAGTTTTTTAATACTATTTAAATATAATAAAACTAACTTATTTTTAACTATCATAACTATTAAAGGTGGATTCAAACACCTTGTCTTTTAAACACATGGACAACTAATCCCTGATAAAGTAAATGTTAGACAAATAAAAGATATTACCTAACGTAAGTTACTAATGGTTAAAAGATAGCAAAAAAATAATAGAAAAGTTACAGTGGTGGTGGCTAAGGTTTACAGTGGTGGCTAGGATTATAGTGGTGGCTAAGTTAAGTAGAATCTAGAGTTCAATTGGATGAAGTAAGGATGAATGAGAATGAAGTTGAGCTACAATAGATGTAAATTCTACCTATAAGTAAAGGGTGTTGGAAGTGAGAGGTATCTTATTCCACACTTCTCTTGTGTCTTACTTATTGAGTTTTTTTAATAGGTTATGGGCCTACACATACTTGATTATGTTTTTCAAGTAAGTTGAAGTTATTTGCTAGTTGTTGCTCTTGTAAGGAATAGATCTTATGGTGTTTGTTGATGTTAGGATTTGTATGATCTAATCTTGTATTTTGGCTTGTGGACATTCTAATTTGGGCCTTATAGATTCTTAACATCTCTTTGAAGGTTCTAAATTCCTAGAATTAAGTGATTAAGACCTTAAACAAAGACCTTGATAATATCTTTGGTGTTGTAGAAGTTTTAGTGAGAAAGTGAGTTTTATGAATTAAAAAAAAAAAAAAAAAAAAAAAAAAAAAAACTTGATCGTGAGGCTGATTGGATTCCACATACTTATTAGAAGCTTTGAAAGTTGAGTTGGGAGTGTTTGGAATGAAAAAAAACTCATTTATTCATAAGAGGGCATTCTAAGATTTTATTAGTGTAAAATTATTTTGGTGATTTTAAGCACGTAGAGACTCATTTTCTTGATATTTTTTGATAGACTTGTTCTTAGACATGGCTTCTAGTGATGGTGAAGGTTTGAGAGTAATTGAGATGTTTGAAGGTGATAATTTCTACCATTGGAAGGTAAAAATGGAACTTTTGTTGGCGTCATTGGATCTTTAGAACATTGTAGATGAAAGTGAAGAGCCTCCAAGCATGCATACTCATGTTAAAGAGAAGAAGGACTTTACTAGACATGAAAAGAAGGCTTTTGGTATGATTGCCACTAATTTGGATAAAGCCAACTTTTCTCATATCATCTCTTGTAAAGGACTAGCAAAAACATGGAAGATCCTATGTAACATATATGAAAGCAAAAACTTATCCAATATCATCTCCACAAGGAAGAAATTTTTCACTTGAAAGATGGAAGAAGCTGATGACATCATGGCTCATGTCAATAAGATAAGGCCCTTACTAATCAACTTGGAATTATTGACAAGCCTTTAGAAAAGAGTGATATTTTCATGACCTTACTTATCAGTCTTTTCGAGTCTTATAACTATGTCATTGTGGCATTGGAGTCCATCAAATTAAAAGAGCTCACAATGGATTATGTGATGGCAAGACTTATTCATAAAGTGACCAAGAGATAAAAAAAAATAAAAAATAAAAAATAAAAACCTCAAAGTGAGGATTCGGCTCTCTTTTCAAGACAAGGCAACTAGAGTTATTTTAATCGATCTTGCAATGCATGAACTTGCTTCATTTGTAGAAAACCACGTCATTTTGCTAGAAATTGCTATAAGGCTAAAAAAAGAAATAAAGAAAGTACAAACAATACTCGTGATGAATATAGAAGTAGTGATTATGTATTCATGGCAAGTGAAGGTATTTCCATGGCTACCGCTGTCGTACTCTAATTTCTTATAGTATATAAAAATTAATTAAGACATATAATATGTTTGTAAGTCTTGATGTAGATTAGAGTCGTTAGTAAATAAATTTAAAGAGAATTCATATAAAAAAAAAATTATTTGG